AATCCGTTAGCTGTAATGTTATTCAAAAAAAGTTGTGGGTAGGAAAAATATTAAGTTATTTAGATTTACTACATGAGATAGCATACACACGAACCAAAAAGGAAAATATTTATTTCCAGCGTTGCTAATCACTTACTACACTGAAAAGAATAGTCAATTATACATGAGGAAAGACTCTAATTTACAAGTCAACATGCTCGAGTCACTAAATGCTTGATTTCTCAGTCATAGTGAGCTTTTGTTTGTATCTCTGGGTTTTTTATTTCCGTTATATAATTTATTTGTTGCAGCTATGTATGTGGAGTATTGATATGGTAAAGATGAAATCAAGGTTCATACAAGCACCAGCTGGCCGTCAATCCTTTGGTGGAGAAACTAAAGTCCATTTTCATATGATCAAAACATCTGTTGTGGTTCATGATAGCCAAATTTCCATTTATGACAGCAAGCTAAATGTTCACGTTCAGTAAGTTTTGCTTCTGTCATCTGTTTTTTTTCTTCTCAGTTCTCTCTCTCTCTAAATAAACTTACTGACCATGATCTCATTTCTATAGTGTGGAACGTAGCGTCACAATAATTAAGGCAATGAGACCCAAATCACATATTGTTGTTGCAAAAATTAGTTATTGTCATCATTGTTCTCTTTCCACCTTGACTCGCTGAGTAAATTTACTACTTCAATGCTTTTTTATGGATAGCATGTTAGAAGCCTTGGCCTACTTGTGGCTTATCGCTCTGAGCTCTTTCTTGAAGATTTATTGATGGTGCTGCATACATGTTCGGCAAATCTTACTATTTCTTTTACATTTCCAAGTAAATGAGAATTATAGATGTTTTAATGTAAGAGTTAACCAGTCAATGTGAAATTTCATGATACTGGCTCATTTGTATGTATCCATATAATTATTTTACGTGTTATTTTCAATCTCTCTTATAATGGTCCTTATGCTATGATTTTGTAACTTGTATGGTCTCCAAAAGATACACTCCCTGCTCCCATTTCAAGTGCCATATATTCATGTGATGGTTTACTGGTGTATGCCTGTTTTGTGACGGTGCTGTGGGGTGTTTTGATGCGGATAATTTAAGGCTCAGATGTAGAATAGCAGCTCGCTTAACTACCTTCCTTCTCTGTCAAGTAAGTGACCTTTTATTTGGCAGTTCTGAACATTCAGTTATAAACAGTTCGATTTTCAAGGCATTTTTGTATATTTCATTGATCAAAATTCAAGCCCTAAAATCCATCACTCATTGACGATATATATTCTAGCGCAACACTACCACCTATCCTTTTGTCATAGCATCTCATCCATCGAGCCTAATCAGATCGCTCTTGGCATGAGTGACGGAGCAGTGCATGTAGTCGACCTTCTGATGCGAGCTGAAGTGGGGGTGGCACACCCTCCCAAGACAATGTTCCCTCCCTTCTAATTCGTCAAATCCTTCTTTAGTGGTCAAACATCCGAGCACCCCACCAGGTAACTGCCGCGGCATATAGATGAAAGGTCTCCACAGGAAGTATGACACATTGAGCTGCACACTTTTTTCTTCTTTTGAACATCAGCCTTTTCACTTATTTTTGCTCTAATCACTTCCTCTAAATCATGGCCTGCTATATCTGTTGTAAATCGTTTTCCCGTTGGCTGTTTGCTACGTGAAATTCTAGAGAGAAACACTTTATCAGAAACTGAGAACAGCCCTGCCACAAGCTGATTTGATGACACTTTAGAAGGTTTTCCTTATATGATGATGTATACATTATGGTTTTTGGAATGAAAATGGTCATTGTTGCCATGCCGTCTGTTTATGTAGTCAAAAACTAGCCTTTTTTTTATTTATTTTGGGTTGTTCCCCTGTCATAGATAATATTTGGGAAGAGCTAGATTTGAAGATTGTAGGAATTCCTTCTCTAGCTGATCGTGGAAGAAATAAAATATTGATGACAACGAGAAACGTTGATGTGTTGGAGAAGATGGGTTCTACAAAAAATTTGGGGATGGGCATTTTAAATGAAGAAGAAGCTTGGAGGCTATTCCAGAAAATGGCAGGTAATTATTATAACTCATTTTAATTTGATAACACATAAAATTTGTGTTATGGTTTGGCATGAATAAATAAAAAGTTAAAAGTAGTAATAACATGTAATATTTTCAAAATCTGCATAATTACTCCATTGATAGAATAGTAGTGCTGGCCTAGGGGCAAAATTGACTAATCTTCGTAACCTCTCATTAAAAATAAGAAATCTAATTTAATTTAATTATTATTTTTTTAAAAATTCCTTTGACATTAGTTTTATTTATTCTCTAATTAAATATTCTGAAAATTAAATTTCTATGTTTAATTTCCATATGCAGAAACAATTCTAACATAGGGCTATTTTCTAATTACACCACAGCATATCTCCCTTGCACCCACACCACAACACATCCCCATTGCAGCCACACCCCAGAACACCACCCCTTAAACCACCACCACCACATCAGCCACAACAAAACCAGATCACCAATCAAATCAACTTCACAAGATCAACAACAACACCACCCAGGTTTAAAACAACCTCCCTAGCCCAAATTGATGCATAAAAAAACCACCCAAGGTGTCGTTGAGTTTTCTCGAGGAAGAAGATGGGTTTAATGGGAATGGGGGTGGGGGTGTGGCGGTAAGAAAGAGTGAATGGGTTAGGAATAAGATTTTTAGGGTTTTATTTATCTTAATTAATACACTGTGTAAATACTTCTCTGCCCTTCACTCTAGTTTTTCAGGGTTTTATCATGGCTGTCCGTAAACATTACTTTCTGACTTAAATTTAAAGTATATTAATTAATATTTAAATTAGTTTTATTAGATGGCGTTAGTTAATTATTTTCAGCCTAAATTTACAGTGATGAGAATTGACTTGGCAGCTTTATTTTACATTTCCTCGTTTCTCATCACTTTATTTTTCTTTTCGATAAATATTGTCTTAAAGCTCTTGATACGACAAATATATTTCTATGATTTTAGAGATGAAGAGTGGAAAGGAATTTTATTTGGAATTTAGTGCAGTTTAATTTTATTTTCAAATATTTTTTATGGTCTGTTTAGGAAAAAGTCTAATAAGATTGCTTGAGGGAAAATAACAACATTTAGAAATTTTCTTGTTTAGAAAAAAGTTAATATCCAAATAATAATGCTACATTTACATCACTCTTTTACACAATTTTCATTACATCATGATGTGGCATATGCCACAACTACACAAATTTTATTATACTATTAAAATTCAAAATAATTAAAATTTTATGTGATTGTAGTATATGCCATATCATGATGTAATGAAAATAGTGTAAAAGAGTGGTGTAAATATAACATTATTCATACCCGAAACATCACCACTAGCTATTCACTACCATCTCTTTAAAAATCACAACCTTCCGAACATACAACATCACTGCTACCACTTTTCAAACCTATCACCACCATTAACAGTTATAACCATATAATTATAATCAGCAAATTTCTAATCATCCTACCAAAATCATATATTTTTTCTTTAAGAAATTTGAGGAAAAAAAACGTGAAAGAAAAATAAAAAGGTTATCATACAAATCACCTGCACTCTTTGGGGTGGGGATTTGGTTGCGGCTTGCCCACGGTTTGGGCTTCTAGGTGGGGTTTGGCCAGGGAAAGTGGGGTACGGGATCTTATTAATTTTTCTGATATTTTATTTTGTAATAATTTAATTTTTGGGTTTTAGTCATCCCCCAAGATTGAAGCTAATTATAAAAATCTCCTTCTGATATTCTAAATAACAAAAAAAAAAAAAAAAAAAAAAAAAAAGGCCCTGACGTTAATTAGTTATTATAACTTTTGACATCTAACAATGATATAGCAAAGGGAGCAATGTTATAGATACCGAAAAAATGATACCGAATTCATGAATCGATAGACGTGGCACCATTCTCTTTTTTAAAAAAAAATTATTTATAATTAATAGACAGTTATGATGATGTCACGTTTTTCGGTGTATGAATTAGATATATTTTTTTCCGTAATTGTATCATTTTTCATGGCCATGAAATCCCATATTTGCCGTTGAAAACATAGCACAGAAGTGAAAGACTTAATTGTCCCTTTTATATAAAATATAAACGGTTAGAAAGGTGGTTTCAAATATTAAATCTTGCTTTATCTTTTAAGTGCAACTTATTTATATTTATTTTACTTTTTTATTTTTTTTAAATCTAATAACCGTATTTTTTTCTATATAATAACACAACCATATAATAGTGTACATAATGTAAATTTTTAAACTTGAAAATGCAAATTTCGTGTACTAATAAATGGCACTGTTTTGCTTTTAAGATGTTGTCACACCTTAGATCCTCTTAATTTCTATTCCGATTTCTACATCTTCAATCTTCTATTTTGAAATTTGTTACACTTCTTTTTAAAAAGATGAATATGAAATTTAAAGTATATTCATTAAGATATATGTTTTAGACAAATTCTTTATATTTGAATTAGTTTTAATAGATATCATTAGTTAATTATAGTGCTTAGTGCAACTCCTATTATACAAACGGTCTTAAAGCTCTTGATAAGACAATTTTAGAGATGAAGAGTGGAAAGGAATACTATTTGGAATTAAGTGCAGTTTATTTAGATTGTCAAATATTTTTTACGGTTTTATTTAGAAAAGAGTCAAATAAGATAGCTAGAGGGAAAATAACAACACTTGGAACTTTTCTTGTTTTTAAATCCAAAGCATGTAAAGAGTCAATGCAATTAGTATAATCCTACCTTCCTGTGTAGGTGGTGTAATTCAAACCCGTGAATTGAATTCTTTGCCACAAGATGTATGTGAGGAATGTGGACGTTTGCCTATTGTCATTTGTACTATAGCAAAAGCATTAAAGAACAAGAGTCGTCCATCTGATTGGAAAGTTGCCTTGCGAGATTTAAGAGCACCTTCACCGGCAAAGTTCATAGGATTACTGGAAAAGGAATACACGAAGATGGCCTTGAGTTACAAATATTTAAGAGATGATGAGCTCAAGAAAACCTTTTTAATTTCTAGTCTAATAGAAAATAATACTTCCATTTCAGACTTTTTCATACATGTTGTGGAATTGGATATACTTGAAGGAGCTAACCTGAAAATGGAAGACGCAAGAGATAGATTAGATAAATTGGTTCGTGACCTGAAAGACTCTTGTTTGTTAACTGACGGCTTCACGAGCGAACAATTTGCTATGCATGATGTTGTTCGTGCTGTTGCTATTACGATATCTTATACAGACCACCAAGTATTTACAGGGAGAAATGATGTTGAAAGGGAATGGAAGGATAAAGATAAACTCAAGAAATGCACAAAAATCTCCTTAACTGATAGTAGTACTGTTATTAGTAAGTTACGGCTTAATGATCTGGACTGTCCAAATCTTGAATATTTCTATGGTTCCCCTGCTTCTTTCAAAATCCCTGAGAAATTTTTCACAGTGATGCCAAAGCTCAAAGTTTTAAATTTATTTGAAGTGCGGCAATCGTTGTTGTTGTCGTCACTTGATCTTCTAACAAATCTTCGAACTTTGTGTTTAAATAATAGCAACATCGAAGATGTTGCTATTTTCGGAATGCTAAAGAAGCTAAAAGTTCTTAGCTTGCGAAATTCATCTATTAAAGAATTGCCAAAAGAATTGGGTCAATTAACTCAACTAAGGTTATTGGATTTAAGCAATTGTTGGCAATTAAAAGTTATTGTGCCAAATGTGATATCAAAATTATCCCAACTAGAAGAATTGTATATGAAGGGATGCTTTATTCAGTGGACAGTTGAATTACTCAAGGAATTGAAGCTCTTGTCTGAATTGGCCAGTTTAGAATTAGATATTGAAGATAATAAGATATTGCTTGAAGACTTCTTTTCCAAAGAGCTTAAAAGGTACAAAATATCAGTAGGAGATTGGTTTTTTAAACGTTATATGGTAGATAACGAAGATGAGCGTTTGATGATGTTCGAATTGGAACTTAATTCTACCATCTCCTTGGAAGAATTACGAGGAATCAGGAATGTTAAACTCTTACGTGTAGCCAATTTTTCAGATGTTGAGAATAGTTTTAATGATTTTGTCACTCTCACGCCAATTTTTAATGAAAAGGTTTGATTGACTATAACTTCTTGTACTTGTCTATTATATATATTCTTATTTTCTTCTCTTATTCATTTTCTCATTTGTTAACACATAGTTATCGTGTTGATTTGTTTCTTCTCTTTTTTTGCACTTTTTTATGGTAATTTACATATTCAGTTAAATTTCACTAGTAAATACTTTTCTTTCAATCTCGATACTGCATAATTTATGTCGAATTGGTTTCATTAATTCATGCTTGATTCCATGATGAAATTTATTAGAGAAAAAAAAAAAAAACAGATCATAATTATTAATGGCATGTCATCTATAAATCCATAAAATAAATTATTTCTTTTTTAAATTTATCTCATATGAGTTCGTAAATATTGAAACAACAAGTACTTTGATTGCAGGTTATTTTCACCAATTTGATGGCCTTAGAATTGAAGAATATTAGTTGTGGAAAGATTTGGGATAGCAAATTTCCAACACATATGTCCTCCCCCTATCAGATTTTGACGCGTTTTATCTTGGAGAGATGTGGAAAAATAAAATATGTGTTTCCATCTTCCATTGCCAAAAGGCTGGAAGCTCTACAATACCTTGAGATAAAGGATTGTGAGGTTTTAGAGGAGATTGTTGCGGAAGAAGGAGCAAAAGCTGCTATTAATTTTGCCTTTCCGCAGGTTACCTATTTGAAGCTTGAGAATTTACCAAAACTTAAAGGTTTCTATCTTGGAATACATACTTGTGAATGGCCAATGTTAAAAAAGTTGGTGATCAATGAATGTGGAAAATTCACTTCAAAATGTCTAAGCTTCCAAGAAAATTCATTTCATATTCCAGAGCCAAAGTCCCCCTGCTCAGAGCGTAAGGTATGAGCCTCTTGTTTACTTCTTTTATTTTTTAAGTATATAATTAAAAAGTTAGTTGGATTTTGTTTTTGATGGATCTGTAGATCAATCATGATTTGGAGGTGCTTGAATTAAGGAATGGTGGGAAACAGATTTTATGGGAGAGTCAATATAAAACTCTTATGATCGGAGGTGATGAGTTAGCTAATATTCCACTCCGATTCCTTCAAAGATTTGAAAATCTGAAAGAGCTCACACTAGAAGACAATATGTATAATGAGCTATTCTTTCCAACTCTTCCAAATCTTGAAGTTCTAGATGAAAGTTGCTGTCATAAATTGATGAGTTTTGTGCCATCCTCAACTCCTCTCCAGAATCTTAAAGTTCTGAGAGTTTACTGTTGCAATAGCTTGATGAAGTTAATAGCACCTTTAATGGCTAGAAGCTTAGTGCAGTTGAGAGAAATGAGCGTAAAGAATTGTGGAATGCTGATTGACATAGTAGAAAATGAGGGAGATGCAACAACGAGTACTGAAATTGTTTTTAACAATTTGAAGACATTGTCACTTGAAAACTTAGAAAGTCTTACATGCTTTTGCTCTGGGAATTATTCTTTCAATTTCCCATTTTTGGAAGAGTTAAATATAAGAAAATGCCCTAGTATGAAGACTTTCTCTCGAGGAATCTTAAGCACACCAAAGTTATACGAAGTCAGAAAGGACAACAAGCTTAATACACTCATACAACAAGCACACGACGAAAAGGTATATGTATTCAATTAATTAGTTTAAATATTTATTTTGTAATAATATTGAAAGTGAGTTCATACTCCCACCTCTTGTTCCTTTCAACACCTCTTATGATCTTTTGGTCTTTCTAGGTGTCTTTTGCTCTCGTAGTACATAACCTACCTAGAACCGTTGTGCAAACCCTAAATCAAGGATCTTATGTCATGAGCATGGACTTCCATCCACAGCAGCAAACTATTCTTCTAGGTAAAAAATTAGAAAAAACCACTGTTTAGTGTCTGTTCACTGAAAAATTTATAGAACTTTTTCTAGAGATTATTTATATTGATTGAAATTTCTGTTCTTCGGTCTATAGTGGGGACAAATATTGGTGACATTAGCCTTTGGGAGGTGGGATCCCGAGAAAGGCTGGCACATATAACTTTCAAGGTTTGGGATATATCAGCTACTTCAATGCCATTGCAGGTATTCACCATCTTAACTTCCCAAGAGTACAATGCATAAAATCTTCATCCTTTATCAATTTGATTTTGGCAATGAATTTAATAACAATGGATAGCAAAAGTTGGATTCAGTGTACTTTCTGGCTTGACTGGCAAACACTTTCATAATAACCATGCCAACAATTTAGGAATATAAACATGGACTGATATTTCTCTTCATTAATCAACTTGTAGTATGAGAAGGCTTTGTTGAATGATGCTACAATATCGGTGAATCGGTGTGTTTGGGGGCCAGATGGACTTATGCTAGGTATGTATATGCATTCTTTGCTTGTGAATATGAATTATTCCTAGTTCATTATATTTATCTTTTCTCTTAATCAAATTGTGATTTGTCTAGGTGTTGCATTTTCCAAACATATAGTTCAGATATATACTTACAATCCAACTGGAGAACTAAGACAACACTTAGAGGTAAATTTTGTATCCTGAATATCAGTTCTTCCTTAAAAATGGCTAGGTACAGTTTATTGACCACTTGTCTCTTTTTAGATCGATGCCGATGTTGGTGGAGTTAATGACATTGCGTTTGCTTATCCCAACGAGCAACCGTGTATAGTTACATGTGGAGATGATAAGACTATTAAGGTACTATCTTAAAAGGGTGTGACCTGCTTCTCTAGGGAAAACATAATAGATATATCCTTGTTGTAAATATCTCTCTATTAAAGAGTTTGACTTGTTGGGATATTAGAGTAAATTTCCCTGTGACAGGTATGGGATGCTGTAGCTGGACGCAGGCAGTATACGTTTGAAGGCCATAAAGCTCCTATGTATTCAGTCTGCCTTCACCACAAAGAAAATATTCAGGTCAATATTTATTTAACTCATCTATGTTGTGATTGGTGATCTGAGTTGGTATCTTTTTCTATATGCTAACTAGTTGATAGGAATAAGATGGCTACCATCACTTTGAATCCTATCTTGAAATGTGCAGTCTTTTTTCTCTACGGCCATTGATGGAAAGATAATATGTTGGCGACATGATTGCTTGGAATCTAGAGTGGACTATGACGCTCCTGGACGCTGGTGCACCATGATGGCGTATAGTGCGGACGGAACCAGGTAAAGCTTGGATGATTTTAAGATGGACACAGGCTAAGATAATTTGCTGATTTTTCATATTGTTTGTGCACATGATACTCTATATAATCACTCATTGAAGTTTCTGATAATATCTTGTTTTACAAAGGATGTATATGATTTAGCTGCCAAGGATTCTTTGTTGCCGGACTTTTTAGGCACTTCTCTGCCTTTGATGTGCCATTATTTTGTAATCGTGCTTTCATCATCTAAATGGAATGAGACTTTTATATTTTTTGTTTCATCATCTAAATGGAATAAGACTTCTATATTTTTTGTTGCAGGCTCTTCTCATGCGGAACAAGTGAAAAAGGCGATTCTTATTTAGTTGAGTGGAATGAGAGTGAAGGAGCTATCAAAAGGACATATCATGGTTTCAGAAAGCGCTCTTTAGGCGTTGTCCAGTTTGATACAACACAGAATCGGTTCTTGGCTGTTGGGGATGAATTTCAAATTAAGTTCTGGGATATGGACAATACAAATATGTTGACGGCTGTTGATGCTGATGGTGGATTGCCAGTTTGTAGTCGTACTATTTACTTGTACACCAATGGTATTTAACAGTAGATACGTAGCATTTGTTCATTGAATTCCATTCTTTGCAGGGTTGTCCTAGACTGAGATTCAATAAGGAAGGATCTCTGCTTGCAGTTACAACGAGTGACAATGGTATCAAAATTTTAGCCAACAGTGATGGTTTTGTATCTATCAACAGTCTTGTAAGTTTAGCATTTCTTATACAATGAAGTTGTTGGTGCTTACCTTGGTCCACAAACTCATACCGAGTGCCACTGCAGGGTCCTATGGACAGCAGTAGACTTGTTGATGTCAAACCATGCATTGCCGATGATGGAGACAAGGTTAAGAGCTGGAACATTCGTGATGTTTCAGATCCATCACAGATGAAAGCTCTGCGCTTACCTGATTCTATAGCACCAAGCAAGGTAGGTGGTAAAGAATTCAAGTATTTGCGTGTTATTTCAGTTAGGAAGAAATCCCTCTGCTTCTATGGTGCTGGATATTTTCTTTGTAGTTATTTGCTGCCCTTTGTGTGCCTGTGCTTATATATGAGATATTTTACTATTATAAAGCTATGCAAATCATATGCAACTATATCCTTCGTTAATATACCAACCGTATATTCTAAAGAATTGGATGCATAGCGATAGGAACTCCGAAATGTTAAGTCAAATGCTGGAATGCTAGTTTAAACCTCCTCGTCTGATGTGTTAACCTTTCTTTCGAATTTTTCCTTTCCTTTTTTAAATATCCTGACATGCCCTTGAGGATGATGGTATGTGGACTGCCAATTCACATGTTAATGCCACCTCAGTTGTGAAGTTAGGGCATAATACACCCTTTTTGCATAGTAGTGCTTGTTTCATCGATTAACAAAGTAGGAGAGGACTGACGATATAAATATAAACTAAATGACTTTTTACAAAAAGACGTAGAAGAAATGATATCAAGTTCATCACAAAAGCTTAATAGCAATCAATATATAATTAGCCAAATAAAACATTATCCACGAATGGTGTGAAATACATTGGTAATTTCCCCTCCATTTAGGCCTAGGAAAAAATATATATGTTTTTTCTATTTTGTTGCAGATGTTTATTGTTGAATTTAAGTAAATAAGAAAAAAAAATTCAGGTTGTTCGGTTGATGTACACCAACTCTGGTCTATCTCTATTGGCCCTTACTGCCAGCGCTGTTCACAAGCTGTGGATATGGCAGCGTAGTGAAAGGAATCCCTTGGGGAAGGTTTATTACTATCCATCTGCGAATTTCTTTTGTTTTTACATTTTGACCTTTCTAATGTCTGTTGCAAACTTGTCAGGCTACTGCATACGTAGCGCCCCAGTTGTGGCAACCTCCCAGTGGAACACTTATGACAAATGACATAAATGATGGTAAACCAGCTGAAGAGTCTGCTGCATGCATTGCTTTATCCAAAAATGATTATTACGTTATGTCTGCCTCTGGTGGAAAGGTTTCCTTGTTCAACATGATGACATTCAAGGTAAGTTATTGCACCTCTCCAAATTTGAACTCTGTATTTCATACATGTTCAACAATATTTCCTTGAGATAATGCTTTCCAATATTTTGAGATTCCACATGACAGAATAAGATTGCTTACTGTGTCTCAGGTCATGACAATGTTTATGCCCCCACCTCCAGCAGCTACCTATTTGGCATTCCATCCTCAAGATAATAATATTATTGCCATTGGGATGGAGGATTCTACCATTCAGATATACAATGTCAGAGTTGATGAGGTGAAGTTTCTCAGTTGATTTGTCGTTTTCTTTACTTAATTTCTGAAGCTAGTTTTATGTTTAACTGGTCAAAGGATATGTTCAATTGAATTTTGCTCCATTTGTTGCTAGTGTTAATTTAGAGTTGATTACGATGATATTTTGAGATTGTTAATGTAAATCTTATTCTTGTTTGGCTGAATCATTACCTATACCATACAATCTGATTTATGCTTCTTAGCTCTGTTCATTAGAGGGAAAGTCTTGTTGTTACCATCTTGTTTTAAGGAATTGATGGTTAGTATTATTGCCACTGAAATCATTTTTCTATTTATTTATTTTTGAAATGAAACATATCACCTTCCTGAACACACACAGATGCAACAAAAGTACAAAAAGGCAAACATGAGTCCACCACAATAGAAAAAACTTGCTCAAAAATTGTCAAAGCTCAAGTATAGCTATCTTAATAATCTAATCAATAGCTTTCTTGATTATCTAAAGCTTATTGCGTGACATATAATGTGGAAGCATAACTAATGTTGGATGTTGTTGGCAGGTCAAAACCAAACTTAAGGGTCACCAAAATCGAATCACAGGGCTTGCATTTTCCCAAACTTTAAATACACTGGTGTCTTCAGGGGCTGACGCTCAGGTTAGTTCCTGACTAATATAAAATTTAATATTTTAATGTTTATGGCTATCCGTTATTTTTACTTATGTTTAATTGGGATGCTATAACTTTTTTTGTCAAGAGTAAGAAACCTAGCACATTTACACCATTAACGGTTTGCTCTACGAACTTTTGCTTATCTGGGGAGCAAATTACTTTGTTTGAAATTAAAGTCGCAATTTGCGATTAATCTTAAGTCATTTAGAGTAATTAATGTCTACATATGATGAGCCTTTTCTTTGGTAAAATTTCAAACCATAGTTGAAATACCATGTAAATATAGTCTTCTTGGATGTTACCTTCTCAGAAATGGGTGTTGAGAAGTGCCCAAATATAAGCTGTTCACGTTTGAATAGGTGCAGTTGAAGAATCAAATTGTTTTGACGGGATCTCTAATGTGAAGATCTTTCCACGAAAATGCTCTTTTAGAATTATTTTTGAACATCAATCTGGTTATCTTGGTTAGTGTCATAGCTTAAATACCATTATTGGGCTCTTATCTATAAGCTGAAGCTTTTGATATGGCTTTTAGATCACTTGGTTATTTAGCATGATATCATGCCAAGTGAGCCAAGTAATTTGAGTTCAAATCCGTTAGCTGTAATGTTAATTCAAAAAAAGTTGTGGGTAGGAAAAAAATATGTAAGTTATTTACGATTTACTACACTGAAAAGAATAGTCACTTACTACACTGAAACCAAGAAAGGAAAATATTCTATTTCCAGCGTTGCTAATCACTTACTACACTGAAAAGAATAGTCAATTATACATGAGGAAAGACTCTAATTTACTACAAGTTTCAAACATGGCTTCCCCGAGTCACTTCTAAATGCTATTGAATTTCAATCAAGGTCCCAAAAATCAAGTTGAAGCTTTTTCTTTTTTGTTATCTCTGGGTTTTTTATTTCCGTTACTTGATAATTTATTTGTTGCAGCTATGTATGTGGAGTATTGATAAATGGGAGAAGATGAAATCAAGGTTCATACAAGCACCAGCTGGCCGTCAATTGCCTTTGGTTGGAGAAACTAAAGTCCAGTTTCATAATGATCAAACACATCTGTTGGTGGTTCATGATAGCCAAATTTCCATTTATGACAGCAAGCTAGAATGTTCACGTTCAGTAAGTTTTGCTTCCATGTCATCATGTTTTTTTTTCTTCAGTTCTCTCTCTCTCTAAATAAACTTACTGACCATGATCTCATTTCTATTAGTGTGGAAACGTAGCGTCACAATAATTAAGGTCAATGAGACCCCAAATCACATATTGTTGTTCGCAAAAAAGATTTAATTGTCATCATTGTTCTCTTTCCACCTTGACTCGCTAGAGTAAAATTTACTACTTCAATGCTTTTTTTATGGATAGCATGTTAGAAGCCTTGGCCTACTGTGTGGCTTATCGCTCTGAGCTCTTTCTTGGAAGATTTATTGATGGTGCTGCATACATGTTCGGCAAATCTTACTATTTCTTTTACATTTCCAAGTAAATGGAGAATTAATAAGATGTTTTAATGTAAGAGGTTAAACCAGTCAATGTGAAATTTCATGAATACTGGCTCATTTGTACATGTTGTATCCATATAATTTATTTTAACGTGTTATTTTTCAATCTCTCTTATAATGGTCCTTATGCTATGATTTTGTAACTTGTAGTGGTCTCCAAAAGATACACTCCCTGCTCCCATTTCAAGTGCAATATATTCATGTGATGGTTTACTGGTGTATGCTGGTTTTTGTGACGGTGCTGTGGGAGTTTTTGATGCGGATAATTTAAGGCTCAGATGTAGAATAGCAGCTTCTGCTTACATACCTTCCTTCTCTGTCAAGTAAGTAGACCTTTTATTTGGCGAGTTCTGAACATTCAGTTATAAAGCAGTTCAGATATTTCAAGGCATTTTTCGTATATTTCATTGCATCAAAATGTCGAAGCCCATAAAATCCATCACTCATTGACGATATATATTCTGCAGCAGCAACACTACCACCTATCCTTTTGTCATAGCATCTCATCCATCTGAGCCTAATCAGATCGCTCTTGGCATGAGTGACGGAGCAGTGCATGTAGTCGAGCCTTCTGATGCAGAGCTGAAGTGGGGGTGGCACACCCTCCCAAGACAATGGTTCCCTCCCTTCTAATTCGTCAAATCCTTCTTTGAGTGGTCAAACATCCGAGCACCCCACCAGGTAACTGCCGCGGCATATAGATGAAAAGGTCAGTCCACAGGAAGTATAGACACATTGAGCTGCACACTTTTTTCTTCTTTTTGAACATCAGCCTTTTCACTTATTTTTGCTCTAATCACTTCCTCTAAATCATGGCCTGCTATATCTGTTGTAAATCGTTTTTCTCGTCGGCTGTTTTGCTACGTGAAATTCTAGAGAGAAACACTTTATCAGAAACTGAGAACAGCCCCTGCCACAAGCTGATTTGATGACACTTTAGAAGGTTTTCCTTATATGATGATGTATACATTAATGGTTTTTGGAATGAAAATGGTCATTGTTGCCATGCCTGTCTGTTTATGTAGTCAAAAACTAGCCTTTTGTTTTATTTATTTTGGGTTGTTCCACTGTAAAGATGTTTAATTTATACTTGCACTTCTCCTTTTCCCAATAGGCTTTATGTTTTTGTACAGTAAAAATTCTATTCAAGTATTTCATATTTGTTATGGTGAACTGATTTATTTCTTATTCGTCGTAAGCTTAGTTTTATTTGATTTTTTTCAAATTTAAGATCCTGATTTCACATGTCATATTACTAAATTACCCTTGTGGATAATCGAATTCCATGTGAATAAAATGATTTTTATTTTCCTGGAAGTAGAAATGATACTAAAATTGAAGAAAATGGTTATGGTTTGTGATAAAAATAGTGAAACCTTATCCCGTTGATGGAATTTCATTTTCGTTAAGAGTTTATATATGAAAAAGTTAGTTTAATCGTCCACAACTATGAAAGTATCAAACATCGTAATGTTTGATATAACAAGGTTGATAAAAATTTGTGAAATTATCAAAAATGTTATAATCATTCCACTTGATCTTCTTTCGGTCATAAAATTCAAAATGATTTAAACGACATAATTAAGCTTCCATTATTTGCTAAGACTACATTTGTAGATGAAGAGTCTTTGGATTTTGGAATTGACTTTAAAGGAATATAAAATTAAAAAATTGTTCCTTTTTTTAATTAGTTTTAACATCTAGTGTTAAGGACCATCGAAAATGCTGAAGGTTGTACTCTTTTAAACCCCCTGGAAGGATTGATAAAGTCTCTTAAGAAAGGTAGTTCTATTTCTTTATTTTTACACGAAGATTTGCGTTATTGGGAAATTCTTTAATAAGAATAAATTCTGATATGATTTCATAATCAAACTTACAAATCAATCACTATGAATTGATTGTACAGTACGCATCTGAAAAGAAAATCTTGGTCCCTCTCAGCTTATGAATTTGCTCTCATTGAGATTTTCCATTAGCACTAAATTGAATACTTTTAAGTAAGATTAATTGAGTCCAGTCCTCCCTTTTCTATGTGCAGTCGACATGATATTTAATTTATATAATGATAATAAATGATCAAATCAATCAATGAAATTAAAGGTAGTGGGAAGATTTTATTTAGGTTAAAAGATCTATATATATTTGTTCTTTTTATTTTTCTCAAATTGAAAAATCAAACGAAGTGAAAAAGGAATGTCATAAGTATTTTCAACATTAGACAATAACTTAAAGGAGTCTTTGTAGTTGATTTTAAAGTAATATTTTCCAACAAGAGCAAATGGTTGTAATTGATAGAATAAATTTTGAGTTAAAATTAATTGACCTAATCTGTTACTTTCGATTACATCTATATTTATTGCCCTGCCCTCATTGAATTTTCACCACAAATTCCATGGATAATAATCTTGGGCCAATCTCAAGATTATTAATAAGGTCAATGGTCAATTCTACCACATCAAACTTTGTTTTATTTTTAATAAATATTTGGGCCGCTCTGACTCCAGCTGGAAAGCTAGTGCTTTTTTCCTTTTCCTTTTTCTTGCTTCTTTATCTTTTTACTTTACCTTTTATTGATGCTCATCTAATTGGTATATATGTGCCATTAATAAATTATCCCCACTAGAGTAAAGATACCCCAAAAAAAAAAAAAAGGAATCAAATAATAAAATAATAAAGACTGAAGTATGCGTGAATTTTATAGTTAGGCATATGCTTTGTTTTTAAAAGTTGTGTTTTGGTTTGGGTGTCAAGTAACTTCATATTCTTTGTCTTTATTTGTCTTTATACTCCATCAAGAAACGCTTGGTTTGGTGTCCAAGTAACTTCATATTCTGATTGTCTTTATTTTCTTCTGTTTTTTTTTTCCCTTTTCCTTATTTATTTAAAAAAAAAATTATTTCAGCATTTTCCATTACTCTTGTTCTGTTATTTGAGTTATAACTTGTAAATTAATAAAGAATCGAATCGTCCATTGAAGTATGCTTGAGTTTATAGTTAGGCATATGCTTTATGCATAGATCCTAACTTTGTTTTTGGGTAAGTATTTTCAACAATAACTTAAAAGAGTCTTTGCAATTGATTTTAAAGTGAGATTTTCCAACAAGAGTAAGTGGTTGTAATTGAAAGAATAAAATTTGAGTTAAAATTACTTTTCCAAATCTATTACTTTCAATAATCGCTCTACTTATTTCTCTACCCTCATTGAATTTTCACCACAAATTCCATGGATGATGATAATCTTGGGCCAACCTCAAGATTATTAATCAGGTCAATGGTTAATTTTACTGCATCAAACTTTGTTTTACTTTAATATATAAGNGAATTGATAAGAAAATTTCCATAGCTTTGATACCATAAAGAAGTTTACAAATCTGGAAATTCTCTCAATTATTTTAAAACTGAATACCCCAAATAACAGAGTGCAGAGTCGTTTATATACTCAAGCTAAGAGACTGAAAACAATAGAACAAATACGAACAATCCACTTAACACACTAACAGAATGATGACATGGACTTAATAGACATTAACAGTAGATTATTATATAAGCACAGTGCATAGCACAACTGACTTTGACTAATTTGTGTCTAAGTCAAGGAATTCATTAATGAGGTGGTAATAATATCTCAAATTAATCACAGAAATGTGGTTCAATTACTAGGGTGTTGCTTGGATACAAAAGTTCCAATTTTGGTGTATGATTCATCTTTAATGAAACTCTTTTATTATATTCACGATGAGAATAAAAAATTTCCAATCACATGAAAGTTACGCCTACGTATTGCCTTAGATGTTACAGCTGTTTTGTCATATCTACATTCAGCTGCTTTTATACCTATATATTTTCGAGACATTAAGTCAACAAACATACTCTTGAAATACAAATATCAGCAAAAGTTTCAAACTTTGAGACTTACAAATCTACTACAATTGACCAGACTCATTTGACAACTTAAATACATGAAACCTTTGGATATGTAGACCCAAAGTACTTTCAATCAAATCAGATTACTGACAAAAGTGATATTTATAATATTAGAGTAGTTTTTGCTGAACTCTTAAACTTGACAAAAGCCTTTTTTGTTCATCCTACATTCAAATATGACAAGAATAGGTAGTTAAAAACCTAATAGAATTAAACAAAATGAACTAAGACCATGATCAGCACCAACTGCTAACAAAATGAAAGTAACAAAATTATAAAACGGAAAATAGCACTAACACCCGGTTCCAAGCAGCATCCAAGTAACCAATGCAAAGCCTAATAAGTGTTATACAGACTCATCTAGATAATAGCTAATCCACATATAGTATAAAATTCTCGTGGCCCAATTACACTGATGGTAAGAGGAGTACTATCTAATTTTTGTCATGGCCAAATGCATTAGGGTCTGGATTTGATTAATGCCACTAATATAATGTATGATTGACTGCCATTGTCACAGGACACTTCATCATTTGAAAATTACAAAACTCTGATCTGGTCTTCAGGTTTAAGTTTGATTCTCAACAGCAGTTCGAAAAATTCACTTCCCAGGGAATTCACCAAAAAAGATTACCAAAGACAGATCTTATGACATATGATAATATTGAATGAACCATACCTATCACATCTGTTTGATACTGAAGGCTCAACTTTAGGAGGAAGATTAAAGACGATCCAAGAAAGTGTCAAATTACCAATGTAGGTCGTCGCTTTAACTTGTTGATTGCCAGAGACCATGAGATCAATCTGCACAAACAATGAGCAACAAGCAAACAATTAAATATCAATTTCAGACTACACATTGAAGCCAATTAAATTTGCCTCATAATACATAAACTTGTGTACTCAGAAATCAAATTATATTCCTAGAAACTTTCATCTGAGCCACTAACATACTTCAGCTCCAATGCAGCANTTTTTTTTTCTATAACAGCCCCCAAATTCTCTTAATTCTAATATAACCCTGCCACATCATCTTTTCCTTACAAAAACATCCAGATTTTGTGCCCTTGCTACATGCAAACCCAACAGTTCCCATTTCTTCATTTTCACCACTAACCAAACTTTAAAATTTGACAGAAAAGTCCCTCCTTATAAACAAAACCAAAGGGAATATATATATTATTAGAATGGGGTTTTACATACATCCTGGTCTACGCTTATAAAAGCATTCTATATTGAGAATGAATTCCAAATTGAGGAAGAAAAACTGATATTAGTGTAGGATTACAAGAAGTTTAAGAGAATATAATAAAGCAGAAAGCTTCTTAGCACTAAATACATACATTTAGGCAAAAAAATGTGGACACAAATGAGTAATAAAAGTCACAAAAGCTATTCTCGCTGTAGTCTTCACATCTTAGGTTTACAAAATCAATCAATAAAATAAAAAGGTACATCCTTCCCATCTTTACGTGTTTGGACTGATCTGGATTACTGAAAAATAAAACTAAACTGTAAAATGGCCAGAAGTAACAAAAGAGCACACAAAATTAAAATAATTTAACACCCGTGAGCCCATGCATACAATCATTACATGAAAAATTGAATCCAGCAAACATGTTGTATGACATAGACGTGGATAATAAATGGAAAAAGGATAAACAAATTACAAAAGGGAGGGGAAAGCCCTCAAAGATAAATTATATAGAACAAAAAAATAAGTCGTATATAAAATATCAAGGGAAAGACAAAAACATACAACAGTAATCAGGAAAAGATGAAAAATCATTCATACTCAACTGACAACAAGAATCAAATTAGGCCAATGAGGACATAAACTTAGCCAAGGAAGTTTGATTAAGCCCACAGGTGAAGAGGGTGACTTTGATAATTTTTGTAATTCTATTATGTGATAGTTATAAGAAGTTTCTATTTCTACTTTAAAGACCTGCAACTACCATATAAATATGTTTGAAGTGTTTGATTTAATGTTTCAATGAAAAACCAAATCTTCATATTTAGTATCCATCAGTAATGATTTCTCTATATTTACAATTAGATTGAATTTGTAGAGGTATTAAAGTAGATTAGATTAGCTTTAACCTAACCTATTCTAAGCCCAAGGCCCAGTAACATTTTTTTATAAGGATTTGCAACTTTCCCCGCTTGGAAGGCTATCCACGAGTCCATGCCCTGATC